AGAAGGGGTACCTGCACCAGTGACTGGTGCTCACAGAAGGGGTACCTGCACCAGTGACTGGTGCTCACAGAAGGGGTACCTGCACCAGTGACTGGAGCTCACAGAAGGGGTACCTGCACCAGTGACTGGTGCTCACAGAAGGGGTACCTACTCCAGTGACTGGTGCTCACAGAAGGGGTACCTGCACCAGTGACTGGTGGTGGACAAGGTGGGTAGGGAAGGCTACTCTGCCGTCATGTCACGTCAATTAAGTAACGATGAGCAAGGAAGCCTTCCAGAGATAGGCATGGCACACAGGCCCAATTCCAAGAGAGCCTGGTGCACGGCGTGGGGATGGGAGGTGGTGTAGGAGAAAATGCCAAGAAAGCCTGAAAAGCACAGGGGTCTACATGCCAAATTCAGAAGTTTGAATTTTATCCTATCATAAGAAAATCCTTAGGGTAAAACAATGATTTATTTTTAATGTATGTAAGTAAGCACTTTAATACCACTTTCATCTTTGCCACCTAGACCAGGTTACATAAAGTTTGTTTTTCTTTTGATGTTATTGGCAGTCTATAATGTGTGCTCATGACTTTCTTTTATGGTTTCAGATGAGCACCATGGCTTCTAGAACTCAAAACATTGTCTTGTTAACTTCCAAATGCTACCCATGCTTGATTGATAACTACTCTCATCTCTAACAGCATATTTAATGACACAAATACAGGCTTCCAAATTTCTGTCCTGGAAATTGCCAATATTCTTGTTGGAAAGCAAAAAGCATGTTCTTAAAAGGTTCTAGTTTTCACTTCACATGAAGTAATGAGATATTATTTTATTAATCATCTCCAAATCCATTTTCATGGCCTTTTAAATAATTATTTGTTCTTATAAAGATGAAGTAATTGGCAAAGTTACAAGCTAATGACTTCTATTATGCAAGACTTTGTGGTGTCTCAGCAGCTGCCAAAGTAACTTCACCTCTGTTGTCCTGAAACCATGAGCTCACCTATGACCCTGTGGTCTGTTACCTCTGGGAAGAGAGCTCTTTCTAACTTCCTGCCAGAAAATCATGCCATATGGTTGCCCCTTACTATATAAGTTATGTTTATCACTCATTTTATTTTTGCCTTCAAATTCACTTTCCTAACTCTGGGTTTTCAAAAAAACTTTCTCTAAGAATTTAAGAATATGCCAGGTACAACTAGGGGGCATAAGCTAGCCACTTTGTGAGGAAAAATTACTAGAGTCTTATAAGCCACTAAGGGAAAAGGAGGGGAAGGGAGGGAAAACCAAATTGACCACCCGAAGGACTGTAACAAACTGGTTAAGATACAGAGTTGGTCTACATGAAGAACTAAGTCTACTTTATTGACACATGCATGTGGTGCATGTCTGATCTATAAAAATTAGGTCAACTTGAGGAGTTGGTCAACTAAGGAGACATCTTTTAGCAAGCATATAAACAGTAGTTATGTATCGTGGGTAATATTCAAAATCCTCTCCCTTTTTTTGGAGGAACTGGAGTGGAACACAGCTAAAATCACCTTGACGCCTAAGCTTCCTGAAGAAAAGGCAGGACCAGATACTTCATTCAGATGATCGTGTGGCTGCAGGGTGGAACAGTCTTGATTCTGACTGACTAGCATGGTTAGCAGGAGACAGGGGGCATCAGCAGTTTGGACATTGTGCAGAGTTCAGATTCTGGCATCCTAATATTAGACATCCTTCACCTTTTTACTTAGCATAGGCCTAAGTGGCGCAAGCTAGGCAGGTAGACAAAAAAGGGAAGGAAGACAAAAGCTAATTGTTGTTAATACTTTTTTTAAAGCTGGGTTTGCTAAAGAGGATGAAGACACATGTGTTCCTCAAGACTGTTAAAATGTATATGGTTGGCCTCTTGGAGAAATAATTGCCTTAAGTGGAAAGGCACTTCCTGTAAAGATCATTGTTGTAGCTTCATTCAGGGGGAGATGCTCTGTGTGGCAGTATGGGAGGTTCAGCTTTCTGTGCAACCACCTGTAGCTGACAGCCACATTCTGGCCAGCTATGCCAGTGCCCTGAGGAGCTAAGGGATCAACTCTTCCTGGCAGCTGTAGGACACATTGCCTAGAAGTTCCCAGACCCCTGAGGGAAATATTTTGAGGCCACAGAACCAGCACCAACCTTCTGAACCATTTCTCAGTGCCCAAGGCTATGATCTACCAACTGCCATATGCCCCCCATTTGTACACTGAATGGTCCTTCTGTGCCCTGATGGCAGTGCCTCCTTCACGCAGCCCTCACCAGGCAGCGCTCCTCCATCTCACAGCTCTCACCTCAGGGTCTGTACTTCACATTGCTGTTTCCAGACCACTATTTTCTCAGAAAACTCCTTCTCCTCTTTAAGGTTTATGCTGTCTGGGTAAACTGTTCTCTCCTCCATCTTGTTAGCTGACCCCTTAGTTGCTTCCTGCTAGTGACTGAACACTGAAGAGCCTGGATTTATCTTGCTACCAACCCAACTCCTGCCATCGTCCTTGGTAACATCAATATTCATGTGAATGCCTCCCTTAACACCTGGCTCACCACTTTCTTTACCTCACCTCCAAAGACTTATCTCAATTCCAAGGTTGTATATATACATATATATACCGCTACTGCCATTACCATCAACTGCACAACCTCAATCTCACATCCCTGAATTCAGTCATCTCATGCTCCAGCTCGGCGGCTCAATTACCATCCATGACATCAAAGCCGTAATACACTTGGAGACCTCATCAAGTCATCCAATTCACTGACTCTCCTGCTTTCTTACCATCTATTAACTGTCCCCTGTCCATCTCAGGTTTGACTTTACAATCATTTCTTTATAAACATCATTCAGCTTCTCTCCCCCTCCATTCTAATCCCTGGTAAAATCCAGCTATCTCGCTATTCTGTGTCTGCAACAGAGCAATTGAGGCTTGCTGAGTAAAATGTGCATAACTGAACAGACAGTTTTCTTGAAATTACCCTCACACAAGGACTTAACATTACTCAGTAATTCTAGTCCCACTAAGCTTGCTTTTCTACTATATAAATGATTTATTTCATAGTGTTTCTCTCCCTAAATCTCTCTTCTTATGAAATGATGGCTTTCGTTATCAATTCATTAAGAAAACGTCACCGTATCTGTGCTCATGTTGGTCCCTTCTCTTCTGATGCCTCTCAGAGGCCAGACGTTGGCCAGTGGTCTGGGTGCTGGCCTCTCCTGACTTCATCACTCTTTCTGTGATCACCTCTCTGGCATGATCTCTTTTTTTCCTATTAGTCCTTTCCCCCAACAGACACACAAGTGGTATTATCATCCCAACTTAGGAAAAGAAAAGAAAACAAAAAAGAAACCTACCCTTGGCCCTACAAGGCCCTCTAGCTACTGCTACTTTTCACACTCAAACTTTCGGGGTCACCACCGGGTCTCCCCACCACCTCTGGCCCGTTGCACACCAGCATCTGCCACTGCTTCTCAGACTGCTCCTGCCAAGGTGCTCAGCAAGCTCTGCTGCCACCTCCCATGTCATCTGGTCTGACTCTCTGCAGCATTTGATAAAGTTAACACTCCCTCCTTTTTGAAATTCTTACTTCTCATGGACTTCAGGACCCCATACTGAGCCTCCTATTCTGCAGATCACTCTACTGACACTTGCTGCCTCCAGGCTCCACCCTGGCAGCTCTCCCCTCCTTTCTGTGCTCTGTTCCTAGGCTCACACACAGTCCCACAGCTCTAAAAAACATTTATAAAATTGCTGATGGCTCCCAAATTTAATCCTCAATCATCAATCCTCAATCTCGGAGTAGTATATCCATCACCTATTTGACATTTTCATGGAATTTAATATGCACAAAAGAGAACTCCTGATTTCTTTTACTCTGAACTTGTTTCTCCCCTAGTTTTCCCCACTCAGTAAATCTACCTATTGCTCAAGAAAGAAAAGTTAGGAGTAATCCTGATCTATTTCCCAAACCAGACCAAATTGAATTCATCCATTTGGCTCCACACTCTTGGCGACTACTCTGCTGCAAACCACCACCTAGTTCTTTCTATCTCCCCTGTCCAGTTTGCCATCTTCCACAGGGAAGCTGGAACAATCTTTTAAAAACATACATTAGATTGTGTCATTCTTCAAAGCTTTCCACTGCACTTAGAACAAAATCCAAGCTCTTTCCATAGCCTCTATGCCTTTACATGCTCCAGCCCAGTCTTTAGCTGTCTTTATCTTAAGATACTCTCTGTCCACCAGTTTTTGCTCAGTTCTTTGACCACATCAAACCTCTTCCCTCCTCAGAGATGCTTTTTCTCTGGTCCTTTGTATAGTTACCCTTCAGATCTCAACTTAAATGCCACCTGTGTACAGAGGTCTTTCTTGATCACCCAGTAGAATGATGGTTCCACCCCATCCCACTATTCTCTTATAAGCCAGCCTGTCTATTTTTTTCTTATATCACACCATTGTATAATTATTTGTAAGTATTTTTACTTTTTAAAATGTTATGGTTCGATGGCCACCTCTATCCCTCTGTGCTGTAGGCTCTATGTCTACCTTTCTGTATGCTGTATATTCAACACTCAGCATAATGCATATGGTGCATATTAGGTGCTCAAAAGATATTCTGTGATTGAGTGAATATGCCCTTAAGTATTTTGTTTTGCTATCTAATATTATTTCTTTTTAAAAATTAGTTTAGGAATTAGCCTTCTAACATTGAAAATATCTGCAATTGTCTTTTAAATTCAGATTTTTCTGAAATATTCAAATGCCGGGTATAGTTATAAGTCCAATAATTTAGTTATTTTATGAAGGAGCTATATTTTTGAGATTTATTTTAAAGTCTAGTGTCGTTACAGATGACGTACCTCCGGATTCCTTTTGGTGTTTCTCCAATTATGAAGGTGGTCTGGTCTGTTCGGAACACTTTTTTCTTCTTCTGGCTTACAGGCTTTGAAATGTAAAGAGGAAATGAAATGTTTCCTTCACTTGGTTGTTGGTCTTTTCTTGTATATGTTGATGTATCTGCATTCACTTTTTCTTTGTATGTCTGAAAAAAGGGAAGGAAACAGAAGCTGTGTCTGAAAAAATAGCTGTTTTTGGCCAAGTAAGGAGACAATCTTACTTTTTTCCAATCCTCTTTTTGATGAAGTAGACCAACTGGTATCACTGCCAGAAGATGTTAACCTCAATCTTTAAAAAGATAATACAGAGAAAATTTATTTTTATATCTTAAAGATAATAAAGAAATATCAATAATGAGATATTTCCATTTCATGGCTATGGGCATACCGATACACTTGCTGATATCTAGTACTCTAATACCCCCAAAGAGGATAAAAATTAATGATAACATAAAAATGGAATGGATTTTAAAATTCAGTTATTTCTCTCAAAATTACTAAGCAGTCTTTCAGTTATTTAATTTTACATAAGCAAATATAAAAATAACAAGTTTTATGTCATAATTACATAAATAAGAAACTACTTTCATAAATCTTATATTTTATCTACCACTGGGTTGCAAAAATACTTAGTGATTTTAAGATGTTAACTACAGTTGGTTGAATTATAGATAGAATCATACTTTATGGACTATGTATTATTTACTTAACACAATTTGTTACTGACAGTGGGTTAAGGAAATAATTTTAAGCTATAATAATGTTCCAGTTTTCTTGACAAGATAGTATGGTGTGAACAGTAGGAACTTTCCATCCTACTCCAAAAAGAGAAATATTGGATACAATTTCAGAGTAACAACAACAAAATTACATTTGAGCTCAAAAGTAAAGAAACAGAATCTCTAGGTAGCCCGAACAAAGTAACACAGTGGTGAGTGGGAGCTGAAACTCAGCAGCCTCTATGGGCAGGGTCTGAAGTTATTGCCTGCAGGACGCCATGTGTGGAAGGGAGATAGAAGTGATTTAACTTCCTGCATTAAACAACAAAGAAACAAATACAAGAGCAAGGAAAAAGATACCCAGTTTACAAATTAAAGCTAGGAAAGCCTAAATTGGGGACATAGACTAAAAACAGGCTACTTTCTTACTCTGAATCACAGGTGATAAAATGGAATGCCCAGCTCTTGCTATTTGTAGAATCTGATTTTGCGCCACCTGGTGATATGGAAAATCTAAGCTGAAAGTCAACATAAAATATTGGCCCAGTACCAGTGAAAACCATAGATCTTAATGAGGGGTGAATATAAAAACATACCACGAGAAGACTTTCATAATCCAGAGAATTCAATGGAGGGAAAAAAGAGGAGCGTGGACAAAAATATAAATCACATATAAAACCCACCACCATGAAGGTGAGCAGATGTAACAAATATGAGAGCTCATATCAGAGAAATTATAATAAAGCAATCTGAAAGAGACTTTAAATCAGTAGCATGTCCAGAAAGATAAAGGAAAAAATAGAATCCACCAGTAAAAACTGAGACTCACATAGGCAGATTAGAGAAAAAAACAATGAAAAACTTTAAAAATGAAAAATAGTTTTGAAACAAAAAATAGAGAAAGAAATAAACTCAAAATATGGATTAAATAGCAGACTAAACAGACCTATGATAGTTGATAAACTGGAAGAATAAAATTACTCTGAATGTAGTGCTGATTTTTTTAAGAAAAGAAAAGAGAAAGTAAGAGACAGAAGACATGGCAGAAAACTAAATTTCTAAAATGCTAGAAGGAGAGAAAAAAGAAAATAGAAAAGTTAATGGTAGGGAACTGGAGAAGGCAGGAATGAAAAAGGGGAAAGAATCCCTAGTGGGAAAAATGAAAATAAATCTGTATTTTGTTATATCACAGATAAAGTGTATACCTTAAAAACTACAGAGAAAAAGGACAAGATGCCCTGTAAAGAAATGACAAAGTAATCAGACTTCTTATTAGCATCATTACCACCAGAATAGATAATGGTATAGTATCTTCAACATGCAGAAAAAAATTCTGTCAAGCTAGAATTCTATACCCAGTTAAACTATCATACACGACATTTTCAGATATACAGAGACTATAAGAGTTTATTAGAGACAGACTCTTGCTGATGATGTAATTATTTTTTGATAGAAGTTTAATAGGATTGAAGTAGCATGCATTCAATGAACATGGGCAGGTAAAAGTTTTTCATTCCACAAATATTTACTGAGTGCTTGTTATGTTCCTGCCACCATGCTATGCATGCTATGCATTTGAAATACAAAGATAATTATATATACAAAAAGGCCCCTGTCCTTAATACATTTAAAACTGACAAGCCCGTTTAAAAAATATGGCATATTTAGCATTTTTATTACAAGACATTATATTTAATTTGTATTCAGATTCATTTTATTAAAATTGACAACAACTGTATATTCTTTAGTACCAAATCTTTCTAATGAATATATACTGCCATATTCAAAAGCTACTGTGGCTCATAAATAAACACAAAACCAGGGCTTTGGATTATCAGTGATGTTGAAAGTAGCTTTCTTACAAACATAATTTTTTATATTTTATCTTAAGACATTATTAATAAAGAGCAAAACATGTTCATCTTTAAAGTTAAGTCTAACAGGGATTTTATGCATTTATTTTCCATCATAAAAGACGAACATTAAAAGGTCCTAATAAAAAGACTCATCATCCTAGGTAATTATTTCACCAAGAAATAATTATTCATTATTATGAGGAGAGGTGGTAATGCTCACATGAAAGCAAAGGGAGTAGGCAGGAATTGGACCAACCAAGAACACTCTGTCCTTGCATATGGCAATTTCTGAAGCTATGGAGAAATCATGCCAGGTAATGGCAATCTTCAAATATTAGCACAATTATTACTCCAGGTCTTTCTGACCCTGGCAGCATCACAAAGCTCACATTTTGTACAGACACATTTTTCTTCAGTTAGTTTTATGAATTCTTCAGGAAAATCCAGCTTTTGTAACCATAGCTATCAGACTTGTGGATCTTTAATTTCTGCTCAATAATCCACATTTTAAGATGTGATACTTTTAGGCAATAATGAAAGGAAAATCATTCTTCTCTCATATGGGCTGAATATCTTACTTTTTATTTAAGGAAATTTATGTAGTTTTATATTGCTATTTTAATAGGAGACTTCAGTACTTTAGAAAAACAAGGGTGTGAAACAAAATTTTATATGTAGTCTGGTTATAGTAAAAGATTTTAGGAATCAATATGCCTGCCTAGGCATATTTTGAATGAAAGCCTAAAAGTTAAATGCATAGCTACATTTAACTTTTAAAGATTAAAGCTTTAAGCTAAAGGTTAAATATATAGGTTAGGGAGCAGTGTGCTATATTAGTTTCCTATTGTTACCATAACAAATTATCAAAAAAATAGTGGAATAAAATAACATAAATTCATTACATTTCTGTAGGTCAGACATACTGTGTGGGTCTCACTGAGCTGAACGCAAGGTGTTGGCAAGGGTGCATTTCTTTAGGGAGCTCTAGGGGGAAATCAATTTCCTTGTTTTTCCAGCTCCTCCTAGAGCAGTGGTTCTCAACCTTCCTAATGCAGCAAACCTTTAATACAGTCCAAAGGGGTTGTCATCCACAGGTTGAGAACCACTGTCCTAGAGGCTGCCCATAATCCATGTCTTGTGGTCTCTCTCACAAGCCAGCAACCCTTCTTCCCTGGCCTTTCTTTCATAGTCACATCACCCTCTTCCCACAGCCAGGAGAGGTTCTTTGCTTTGAATAATTAATGTGACTAGATAGGGCCCATTCAGATAATCCAGGATCTAAGGATCTTCTTGTTCAGGTGATTAGCATCCTTAGTTACATTCATCCAACTGGTCCATCTCAAGGTAGGTACAACCTTAATTTACTTTTGCTAGGTAAGGTAATGTATGCACAGGTTCCAGGGATTGGTATAATATTAATACATAGATATCGGGGGGGGGCATTAATTTTGCTTTCCATGGGGGTGGAAGGAGTGTGAGGGTCTTTTCCTGGGTCCGCTACTCTCCAGTGGTTGTGTAGATTGGTTTCACAGACTTCAGAAAAGGATGTTTATGAATCCCCTGAAGTGGTATTTGCAGGAGTATATATATATATCTATATATCTCTATATATATATGTGAGCATTAACATATTTTTCACATAAAAGGGCCTATGGTTTTCATCACATTTTTAAAAGTGTGGCTAGAGTTTTAAAAACCCCTACTGTTATAAAAATAGCAGCACCATTTGCATAGTTTTCAGATATTCTTGTTCTTTCAGAAACATCCATTTTAATTTGTAAGCATCCTGGTTTCTGGTGCTCTTGCTAGACACGTTGTTTTCACTATTTCACAGTAAAATAGTGTAGTCAATGCTTCATAATTTACAAGATTAATAATGCTGTAATGCAACTGCAGTTGTAATTATACAACAATTATAATTTCTCATTACAAAGTACAAGGCCTGTGAACTGGACTGAAACTTGTTTATTACCATGTATGTTACAGGTGTGAAGCCATGACACTTAGACAACACTATAAAGTGGCAGCACTAAAGAAGACTTAAGTAACTTAAGTCTGTTAGATGTGCAATACAGCATTATAGAAACTATTAGGGTATGTAGATACCCTAATTTTAAAATACTTCATTGCTAAAAATACTGCCAACAACCATCTGAGCAGTCAGTACGTCATTAACTCTTGCTGGAAGAGGGTCTTGCCTCCCTACCCACAGCTGAGACTGATCAGGGTGGTGGTTGCTAAGGGCTGGAGTGGTTGTGGCAATTTCTTAAAATAAGACAATAAAGTCTTCTGCATTCGTTGACTCTTCCCTTTATGAAAGACTTCTCTGTAGTATATGATGTGTTTGATAGCATTTTACCAATGAAAATGCTTTCATTGTTTACAATAGAACTTATCTCAAAGTTTACAATAGAACTTCTTTCAAAATTGGAGTCAATCCTTTCACCAATTGAAAGTCACCAATTTTTTTGCTTTCTTAGTACATGTAACAGTTACACTACACTGTATTCTATTAGGTGTGCAATACATTATGCCATTGCTTTATCTTCTAAGTCAATATTCTGAGTCCTT